TGTCCGAGCCACCTCAACTGACTCCTCTCGAGGTGGAGGAGAACCGGCTCTACACTGAGCCTCTCCCGAATGACAGAGCTCCTCACCTAAAGGCAAATCATTTAAATTAAACTTGTAAATGTAATTGTGCAATATTAGCCTCAGCATGAACCACAGTCTCTGCCTCCGATTGGCTGACTGGTTGTCATGTCTACAGTCAACCAATGTAATCACTAAAGGCAGTGGATACTAGCCAATTGGAAGTAGACTAGTGCACACGATGCCTTCACCAGCCTAGGAAAAAAATGGGAAATTTTTCTTGGAGATTCTGCTTAATTGTGCGTATCATGGGGATTTATAAGTGGGTCTACACTATGCTGATTGGAAAATTAGTGGTTATATGCCATATTCCCTCGTACACACTAGTGTTGCACCGATACTGATACCAGTATCGGACAGGGCCCTGATCCAGCACTAAAATGGTGGTATTGGTATCGGTGAGTACCAACAAATAGGGCACAATAAAATTTTGAGAGCTAAGAGTTTATTCAACTATTGTCACCCATTCCAGGTAGGCAATAGAAAGTTCTACTGGATTCACTTTGTATTAGTCTATTTCCTGCTTCACAAAGGTAGGCAGCAGCTTGACAAAGCCATGATGGCAATTATTTCACATCCAAGTACTATGCAGTTCTTCATATATACACACGCACATCAGTTTCAAACAGATGGTATCGGTATCGGCCAATACTGCACAGCCAGGTAGCGGTATCAGGGTCAAAAAAATGGCATCGGTGCAGCACTAGTACACACTTGACTACACCACTGGATTCAATGCAACGTACTCATTTAGAAAAACAAGGATTCTCGAATCACAAGACAAAAATCTGTTGCAGTGTGAAACACCTCTCAGGTCACATGCCATAAGAAACATAAGAAACTCAGGCCAGCAGAATGCCTGAGAAGAGGTGAGATTGGCAAAGCTTTGGCAGATGGTATCAGCCGCTAAAATTACTTGATGTTGAAGCAAACACCCACTGAACAAATTATGAGTGGTAACTTAACAAATGGCCTAACTAATGTTTTACTACTTAAAAAATGTATATAGTCAGAGTTAAATGAGAGTACAGAGCTTCATGATGACATTATGCTTGAATTCATGTTAACTCAAAAACTAAAGCTCTCTAGCTCTCTAACATCATCAGTTACTTTTAGCACCTTGAAATCCATTTGAATTACACCTCTTTACAGATGTCAGATGAATGATTTTGATGCATTTTAAGCAGTCATCACCTCTTAATCTCCACCTTGATGCAACAGGTAGCATTGTTCAGATACTCACTGAACAAGAGACACAAGTTCTGTATTACACTTTAGTTTTGCGGGCATGGCGAAAGAAAACACCTCCTTTGCCTGGCACAGAAATTGATCATATTACTCTAGTATTACTTCAAGTTCCCACTGGATAATTGAATCAAATGGAAAATGTCAGAAATTGAAAAAATTTATTCCAGAACTTAAGACAGACTACAATTTGCCTTTAAATAACAGAGTGCTTATAGCTTTTTGGTAATTAAAAGGCGCTTTCTATATATCTGAACTTGAATAATACTTAAAAACAAGGCCTAAAATGTTTTTAAATAGGTTTAGATCTAAAGAAAAAAAATGTCTGCCATAGGGTATTGACAGAACAAAAACTCTACATCACATATATGTATAGTTAATACAGGAGACCCAATACACTTATTTCATTTTCTATGCCAACATTGCAGCTTTGACTAATGACAGATAGTGATAATGAGCTGATATATTATCAACAGGAATTATACTTTTAATAGTTATTTGTAATGAGGAATGTCAGAAAAAGATTTATCAAGTTATATTACTCAAACAGACATAACAGTCAGCAGCAATGGGTTTGAGAACTGAGTCACTGTGTAGCAACCTGAGAAACAGAGGACCCGAAATTTCAGCCAGACTCAACAAGACAGATTTAAAGGTTTTATGTAATCTCCAGGCAGTGAATGCCAGGCAACCTCCAGCAAAGGAATTAGGAATCTCTGAAGGCAGAGAGATTTCTTTGTGACTGAATAAGAAGGGGTAGAACTTTGACTTTTTACAGAAGGAGTTTCTAAAGGAGAGGCAAGAACCAGAAACCAGAACTAGGGGCAGAATCGTGGAGACAGATTTGGATTTATGGATCCAGGGGAGAACCAAGAGGCAGAAGTCCAGAGGCAGGAACTTGGTCATTTTCCAGAGATCCGAAAGCTCAGAGTTGAGGGCAGAGCAGATACAAGGAATCCATGAGGCAGAATACAGGCCGTGATCAGACAGGCAGACAAAGAATGATTGCTAGACATCTTCTAACATAAGGCTTTTCAATATTCTGGCAATAGTAACGGGTATAAAGGCAAGTTAGATAGGCTGTGATGCAGGTGACAAGCATGAGTGCAGATGAGGGAAGGGGTGGAGCAACACAGGTGGAACCGATGAGTGATAATGATGGCAGGCGCAGAGCTGAATAAATACAAACCAGTTACTATGCCAGAAACATAACAAATTAATCGATAAACTGATGGGTTACATAGACTTTAAATAAATTTCTCACCTGTTTACTTATTGCATGCATGTTTTGTAGTTACATCATTAACCCAGTAACTAGTTACGCTCTAACCAGTTTTCACACAAATATCCAGGCCCAATTATGTATTAGATTGATAGCAAGAATGTAAGGTAATCTAACTAATATCCTTATTGTCTTAAGAAAGCTAATTGGATGGGAAAGGTATAGATTGATAAAAGTAATCAACAGATATGAATATGTTAATGGAGCTCAGATGATTTAATCTGGTATCACAGGACATTAAACTTTCAAACGTTTTATATCTAAATAAATGTTAGATGTTGGAATTTGGACGATCACATAGAATTAACATCAGAATGAAAGTTTGAATTCATCTTTGAAGGAGGTGTAATTATATGGAAGACTTCTTAAATTTTATCAGCAAAATAACATTTCTGTGCTCCATTGATAGGTCATTATAAGGTGACAAGCTCCCATCAGCCAATTGTTGCTGCTCCAGGTGAAAACGTCACCCTCCTGTGCCAGGTGGAGCCTCGGTTTGACATGGTGGACATGACAGTGGAGTGGTCAAAGCCTAAAGGAAATGGATATGTGCATCTTTACAGAGACAACCGTGAGGTTCCAGACATGAAGATCTTATCCTATAAGGGCAGGACGGCGCTGCTGACTGACAGCCTAAGAAATGGCGACATAGCACTCACCATCACCAATGTGACGGCTGCAGATGAGGGCCAATACAAATGCTTCATACCAAAGTTAAATGGACAGATCAAATCTTCTATTGTTCGCCTTGTAATTGGTGAGTCGTGAGATTGCTGTATCCACATTATTCCTAGTACTGTTTCTATTGTCAAAAAAGAAGTAAAATTCGATGATTTGTGAAGGGAAGTTGATTGTAAATCTCATGTCATTTGCTTGCATAGCAGACAAAATTCTGCTTTTTGGTCTGTTTTTAAAATGTTTTACCTCAGATTATCAAGGTTTGGTCAAAGAGTCATTATAAATGTTAAAAGCTTTATATAATCTCCTATAGTGCTCTGTGTTGCAGTGGATCTGAAGAAGCCTCTGACTTAAAACATTCTGATGTTCTATTTAGCAAAGGATTTTCATGCTTATTTTTATTATACACTTTAGGCAACAGTTTCTTGCACAATCAGTGCAACGATTTAAGATTGCAGTTTTATGAATTACACACTCAGGTCCCACAATCCCTACAGATAATTTCAAGACACTGAACCTTCCACTACAGACTTTTAGGAGATATTCTCTAAGTTGTTTCTCCACTTCTTCTACTATGAAAGATACTATTTACTATATTCCTGTTTTATTGAGGTAACATTAAGATAAGTTTATTGTTTTAACACCACAAAGCTCTCTGTGCTCAACCTCTTGTCCATCTATTCTGCATCTCTGCAGCAGCTGTAGAGTCATCAATGCATTTCTGCAGACAGAGGGGGTCTGTCTAACTGAAAGAAATGTGAGCAATGCGGCAAACTGAGCTGCTGACTACTTATCCGTATAAGTACCTTTTTACTCTTACACAGGGTTTTCTGTTTGTAAATTAGTTTTCGATCGGTTTGATTCTGGAGGGATTTCCTCTGTTTTTTGGAGCTTCTGCCAGTGAGTCTTACTGAAATATATATACTGCCCCATTGAACTGTTTAGGTTATAAACAATTTATGGGAAAGTATGCATAAAATGCAGGAAGGTCTATAATTTCCTTTCTCTTTTCAGATATAAACCCATCTAAAAAAGTTACCACAGAGATACCAATAAGTCTTCCTAGAACAGGACCAGATGATCTTTACGGTGAGAATGTGGCTGCTGACGCATCCTGTCATCAACAGCCATCTTTGCTTAAGTTTGCTGTAGAGCTCTTTAGATTGCTGCATAACTTACTTCTTTTCTGCCTTGCTTTTTAACAGAAGGTGACAACAATCATGTACTAGATCTCTATTACCGTATTTTCACGACCATAAGGTGCACCGTACTAAAAGGCGCACTCTCAGTTATGTGTCCCATTTCTGTATTTAACACACACATAAGGCGCACCGGACTATAGGGCGCGTTTTTTATATACAGGTACCTGTCCTCTACTACGTTTAAATACCTCTACTGCGTATTTAAAAATGGAGAGGGGGCAAAACTGAGTATGATTGTGCTTTTTTCATGTATTTATTACAAAGTATTAATCAAACCTAGGAGCTGGCCGTGAGACAGACACATCACTCTGATGACACAGAGCGCTGTGATCACTCCTCTGAAACAGTTTGTTGACGCATAAATTAACTTAAAATGCAGTAATCTGCTAGCAGAATATGTTCGCTTTTATTATCCTGGTGCCTGCAGTTTAGATTGTATCAGTTAGTTCTGACGCGCGGCTGAAGCAGCGTTGCTGCTTTGGCTGCGCGGTGCAAAGTGTGTCTGACGCGCGTTGGGCGGAGCTATCCTATCCTTTCTTTGCCTTGCAGCTATATTTGCTGTGATCAGGTCAAGTTAATTTAGGCGTCAATAAACTGTTTCAGAGGAGCGATCACAGCACTCTGTATATGTGTATCATCAGAGATGTGTCTGTCTCGCTGTCAGCTCCCAGATCAGCTTCTCTGATTGGTTGATGCTGCACGTCCAGCAGCAAAACTTCAATTTTTCCATCTCGAGCAGCAGCAGCGCGTCAAGCGCGTCAGATACTTAAACGCTCCCGATGCGCTGCGCCTGCTGCTCAAAACACGCTGCGGGACCTTTTGCTGCGCCTATACGCGCGTCAACCATTTACTTTGCATGTAAACTCGCTGCTTCTGCTGCGCCTGCTGCGTCCGGTTCACACCGATGTCGAGCGGTTGAATAACAGCAAGCACAGCATTAATTTGTTTCACCATGTTTTTCACATCGGCTGTAAGATGGGCACGCATGGAGTCACAGATTGCAATGGTGATGAGTGGAAAAAAAAACACCTGGTCTCCTTACATTCACCTCCCTCAGCCACTCTTTCATCATCTCCTCAATGAGGAGATGAGGAGTTCTGCATAAAGCACACACCTGTTCTTTTATACACAATCCACGCCCACACTTCCCCCTTTAACGTTCTCATGGTGGTCTCAAAAGTCCGCAGTAACAACATACATAGGGCGCACTGCACCAAAGGGCGCGCCGCACATTTTGAGGGAAAAAAAAGACGTTTATATGCGCCTTATAGTTGTGAAAATACGATAGATTTGAGTGATGATCGTTTTTAGGTAATAAATTGTCTTACTGGATTGGCTTTGATGCAAATGCATGTATCATTTCATTTCTCTATATAAACTTTGACTAAGGCTTG